CCAAACTGCATGGCTTGGATGGACTACTAACACAGGAAAATACGATGGGGTAAGTAAAATCTGAAGTGTTATTAAACTTTGGAGTACTATGCGTTTTTAAGCGCATTTATTCGTCACTCCTCTGCGCACGGCAACCGGCTTACAAGAAGCCTCATTTGATCTTTGGCTCGACAGCGAGGAATTCCCATTATCCCTTGTTATGTTGTAATTACGTAAAGGACTTCTAGCGACATACTGTGCACGCAATCCCTGAAATACGCCGAACTGTACTGCAATAATCCTTATTTGACGGATTCAATTGAAAGCAAGAACTAGTCTTCATGCATGGGTTGAATGTTATCGTCAGTATGGACAATTACTTTTTTATTTCGGCCACTTTGAATTTCGTCAAATGTGAACTAGAATTTCCGCCCTAGATGTAACCGATTCAGTTAGTTTGCCACGAATAAGCATGCGGATCCACTGCTTCCAGTACTGGTTTGTGTTCTAACAAAACCACAAGTAAGAATTACATCTTTCAGGATCAGCAACATCCTCCGATTTGCTTGAATTACCACCTGCCTTGATCATTCCTGGATTGGCTGGTTCAGTGGCCCAGCCATTTTATTTTCCAGCTACGGTCCAGTAATTCACGGCATATGCCAAGAAGTAAAACCATCTAGCTTATTCCTGTATGGATTCTATGCATTTACAGCAATGAGTTGAAGACACCTGAACCAATTTGCCTTTCGAAACAAGCAACACGCCTTCGCGATGGAGATGGTAAAAGAGCAGAGACAGGATTCGAGTCATACTATAGCAATCAATTCATTTTTATTTTCGTTTCACTGTACGACAGTGTTCGGAGAAATAAAATTTATTTATAATCCCCTCTATAACTGAAAAAATATACACTAGGATAATCTTTTTGTTCACAAAACAAATGAAATTATTACGTTCTGCTCCCTTATGTTTCAGTCAAATTCTTAACAATTATTTAATCGTTAAGAGATCGATGGGATTCGAACTTTCGATCATATCACAATGAGTCTCAATTTGATACAATTGTAAACATGTGATTTAAAAACGGAACTATTTTTCATTCAATTTCTCTATACTGTGAATGTGAACAAGGAGTTGCACAACTTTATTTCAAGTATATACATAATTTTTCGAGTCTTCTCGTCATCGTTTTCACGTGCACCCTTGGGATTAAGCGATTACCTAGAGCAATGCAGACTCACTGATACTAAAAAAACGCTAGTCATTTTCCAACGTTCTCTTCTTCCTTGTGTGTAGATTATTTCTGACATCATCCTGAGGTTCGATAGAGTGACTGACAGACAGTCTTTTGGGTGCCTTCGAGATCCTTGCACATGCTCATTGATTGAGATATGAAACGCCAATTGTTTTCGTTGGGGTGCAGTTGTTTCCCCAGGGGTTATTTGAGAATTCATTTGTGAAGATCCGCACATATGAGCTAGGAAAAAGGCTGCTTCGCGCGACTATTGCAGCGGATAGAAACATTCATAATTTCCTCCGGTAAATTGGACCCTACGGGGAAAAGAGAAACTAAAAAACGGATGAAATACTTCATGAAAAATCTAACCACAGACGATCAAGTACAGTTTCTTAAGCGATTTACATGGTTTCTGCGTCTAAGTAAATCCTAGTAAATGAAAAAATAAAAGCGTTGAACCGAAAGACTTACTTTCAATTGATCCTTGGGGACCTGAAACGTATGTCACCAATCGTTTTCAAGATTTCAGTAGTGTACATAAATGTGTGTACTTCTGTGTGTACTTCCTGAATACTTCTGTGCATTTCCTCCATTCACGTAAGGTACATTTTGTTGATGTTTATTTATTGGAACTGGGTGTTTGGAAGTCTAAGTCGATAAAAAAGCTTTTAAAAGAATTCCATGAACGGTATTCAATGTGTGGCGTCCCGCAGCTCATAAAAGGCTGAAAGTGAACCGAGTAGGCTAAATAAAATTTAAAATCAGAGATTTCCACTTTGATTGGTAGACTATGCAAAGTGAAAAAACGATTTCAAACACAGCGGATATATTCTGGAGTCCATATGCATTGTGAACCATTGGATGATGAGGTAAACGAGTACGGGAAGGAGCAGCGACGTAGTTCCAGCAAAACAGATTCCCCTTTTTGATCGCTTTGAAAGACCAATAAAGCCGAATCATCTTTGTGGCGGGATCTTCCTTATTCTTTAGAATAAGGGCACTTAAATCACAACAAATGAAATGCTTTTCTACGGGGAGACGAAGCTCGCACCCTCTAACAGGCAAGGATGATCAATAATTGCATGTAACATATTTTCAGTTGGAGGATTCTGTCAACTAACACTAATAGTGACTGTCGAATTTTCAGCGCTCTAACAAAAGAATATTTTGGGGTTGCCATTCATCATATTTTACGTCAACCTGCGTGAAGCAGCATTTAAACATATTGCAGCAGACATGACGGGTAGTCTTATACATCCTTCCTTGTGTATTCGTCTTCTGAAAAGGGTAGGTCATATCCAAATTCAATGGAATACAGGAAATCCTCTAAAGATAAAANGCAATCAATCTTTGTTTAGGGTAAGAAAGGTATCCCAAATTTGTTCCAACCACGTTGAGATTAAAGCCTATTACTCGGGGAACTGAGCACATATATGGATAAAAACATTTCAGGTTAAAAAACGGTGACTGGAGTGATTAATAGTATTTTATTTTGAATACATTTAGTCAGACGTTTTATTACCACAGTGTATGATTTCTCCGGTATCAAAGGCCTAATTAACTTGCTAAGAGCTTGAAGAAATGTTGCTTTTATTTTTGACATTGAGTTTTAACTCCTTCTTTCTAACTGCTTTCACTCAAATTGGTATTTCTTATAAACAAAATGTTGCCTTCTATAAGTGCTGTCTAACCCCAGACATATCTAGTCAATGGAGTGTAGACATTGATAGCAGTAATTATTTCTAAACCATTCACACCCAACCTTACTATTCGAGTATGCTATTCATTCATTCTTTCACAGACACGGAAATTGTTCAACTTCTTCATCTCGTGATGCTTAGCAGATGGTTTTGTTTTAAAACAGTTGCACTGATACAACCATTCGTTCTGTTCTAGTGCATTTCTGTATTTCTCAAACAGTGCTTCACACATGGCTTCTCGAGAACTGGGGCCAAGTTTCGGTTTGATAAGTCAACTCTATGTCACAAGTATTACGAACCATATCAGTGGTTGGATTTACAATGCATTGTGTGCCGTGACGATTTCTTTTTTCTTCCTGATTCAGACCATCTATGACTGGGTGAAAACAACAAGCGGTTTGTGCTTTTAGTGGGTAGTTTAAGTATCAGTTATTCATGAATTCTGCTCTGATTGAACACGTGATTTGAACAGGCATTTGAGTCCAATGGGAGCAACGGCGTTTGTGGGGTCATGCAAAAACATAACGGGCAAATGTATTTCCCCAGTTACTGATCGTTTCATGTAGAACGCTACAAAGATTCCGCGAAGGATTGATCAATTTATGTCTTTGAAGAAATTTACCCAAAAAAACAGATCTCACGTCTTTTTACAAGCAAACAGTGTCTATAGATCTATAGTTTACTGCTAGTCTCCTGAAACTTTCCACGTTTTTTGAACGTTTACTCTTCCCGAATTCAAAGCTACATTTCGTGGTTGTAATTGAGAGGCTCATTATTGTTCTCCTCTCACTTCGATGAAACTCAAGCTTGAAGATATTTTTGAAAATGCTAATTTTTTCAAAATACTACTTTTGCGGATACACTTCTTAGTATAGGAAGATTTGCCCTTCGTGTCATTTGCATAAATACTTTGAAAAAAAGTCCGGAACCAAGTGCTATCGTTTGTGCTCCTAATTTTCATCACCCACCCCCTTCAGTGGCGATTACAAACGCACCCGTTGCTTCAGCGCAAAGTGTACGGAGTGTGTCAAGTGTTACGAGAACAGAATGACAACTGGCTTTTCGGACCGATTGTGGAACTCCGTGAGGCTGTTCTGATCACTATCGAAATCACGTTCACCATGCGCAAATGTGCCGAACATCCCGACCCGGCTGCTTTGGGTCATTGTCAGGAGGCGCTACAAATTTTGGTATTCCAGGCGGATGATATGGTTACGGAGCATTTTGACTACAACTCCAGGTAACTCTGCATTTTTCAGTTAGATCGCACAATGAGAATAGACATGTATTTTGCGGTAAACTGCGTGATTAAATCAAGAGGACACATCTTAAAACAGTTGAGATCTGAATTTCACCTGGCAAACATGAAGTGCGTCAATCAAATCCTACTGAATTTGTAAAAAACTACATTTTGAAGCTCAAATAATTTAAAATATTTTATTGGTTTCATCGGATTATTGTTCCCTGTTGACACTGACTATAATGTAAGAATCTGGTTCATCAAGGTATTTGCACTACAGTGGTCTGTAAGCGATTGCTTCTTGGTCTGACGTTCAGCAAAAATCGCCAAAGTGATTAATTTTCCCACTTACTTTGAAATTTCTCACCAAGTCATTATTTCGCATGTCGCTAGCATTCAGGTCAAACTATGCTGTAGACTGTATTGCTGTATACCCCTGACATCCCACTTCACAGGTGTTTGTTTGTCTGTTAGAGCTGACAACCCATTATTTACCACTATCAATTTCCAAGGAGGAATAATAAGTGAATGAAACACAGATGACATTCCGTTTGATTATGTCGCAGTTGTGATCAGAAATAATGTGGTGCATGCTGTCAGTTTCTAAATACCTCCGTTCTTGAAAGCGCATTTGAAGGCCATTTCGACCCACCGCAAGACTGACTACACGGAATGCATATCAAACTCTTTCCGGTAAACAGATGACCAAAGGTTCATTGAAAAGTTAAGTTACATAATTATTGATTATGAAAGCATTCTAAAGCTGGCAGTGCCTCTTAAAACAGTTTTGCGTTCTGAAGAGGTTACCACAATGAAGACACAATATGTAACAAGAATAGTAAGGAGACACAATCACTTTTTTCCTAGATGAATCAAGGCGGTTGGATATTCGTTGATTCAGAAAATATTCAGTTTTAATTTTAATCTTTCCGCAGATTGTCTTATTAATGATTGGGTTTTGGAAAACATGAAGAAACAATTGGGTTTTACAGTTTTACTTAGCCCAATACATATTAGGTAAACGCCGGTACTTGGCTACCTCCAACTTAGTAGCAGGGAGTAACTCAATTACCACTAAAAGAGTATATTTGGCACCCGTGTGACCAGATCTTACACAAACTTGAATGACATTTAGCTGTGTGCTGACTGCATACATTAATCCGATAAGTACACAAATGCTGTGGAAAAAACAATTCCCTAGAAAGACAACCACCAGAAGTCCAGCTACCATCAATACTATCCTCGTCATATGATTGTTTCACTTGCCCAATCAACATTGCCCATGCTGGTTACTAAATATGAATTCGGAAAATATCAAACTTTTAAAGGAATGAGAGGAAAGACAGTCTACGTCGATCTGCTTAAGATTGGCTAGCCAGCCAGTCCAAGCTCTACCCAACTGAATACATACTGTAATCTTTATTACTTTCGTCTTGATTTATGGATTCCACTAAATCCGATTTAGTTATTGAGTTCAACCGATATAATGGACACGAAGTTTGGAACTTGTTCCGTTTTTGTTTTTATTTGAGCTCGTGTGATAACAGTTTTATTAGTTTGATCATTATTCATTCGTTTGACCACTTTCGGTTAAATTTGAAGTGGGATTTTTCTAGGCTAATTCAATTAATTCTAGTCGTGGTAAACGCAATTTGTAGATCGACAAAGTTAATAACGGACAAAGATGAGCCAAGGATCCACGTGGCTTTGCTTCAAAATGATACAAAAATCCTTTACATAGGAACAATGTGAATGACTCTTAAACATAATTCAATATTTTGCAGTTTTGTATCGTTTTACACAAAAAAAAACACAATAATCTATGAGGGTACTTAGTAATTCGTCATTCATAATAGAAATGTGGCTTGTGCGTCGCCAATACGTAAGACGGAGCCATACTCATCAGGTCACTCTACGATTTCGATTGCCTTTTGTTATACAATCATACCTGCAGGTTTCTGGTATGTTTACGTGATTTTGCTCCAAGTATTTTGATGGAATAAACAAAAGTAACTGAAAATGTTTGTTTTAATTTTGTTTAAACCGACAAAGGGGATCGAGCCTCTTAGCACTGATACTTTTTCATGTCTGCATACTAACCAGAACCGCAAACTTACGAATCAGAAGTCGAAGTATTGCTTTCATGGCAACCTCGTCAATCAACAATGCCGTGAACTCATCCCCACTTAGTCCACAAGCTTATTTTATTTTGCCATCCCATGAGGATGGGGGGTTGGAGATATTAGTTTTTGTGAGGTGTTTTTAGTTAATCTTGAGTGATTGTTAGCATTCAGAAAATTTATGATAATAGAAAGGGGGCAATCGTGGTGAACAAAAGAAATGTCATATACTGTTGCAAGCACCAAGGTTTTAAAGGTACGTAGCTACACTGACTAGGATTACCGGAGAATAACTGAGCAGGTAATTGAGGACTTTCAAATAGATGGATTGCGTTTCTGAACGAAATCAGTGATCTACCATTCGCTAGCTACAAGAAAATGACGTCTGAATCCTTATTCTATTGATATATTAGACTAAAAAGTCACAAATTTGACCGCCAAACGAGTTGTAATCTAGTTAGATCACCTCGGAGTACTGCAAGCCTCGATATCTTTTTTTTCCAAGCAACTGAACATCGTGCATAGAAAGATAACTTCACTACACGAGGGTATTTTCAGCAACACATTGAAGTTTCCGTCACGGTTCATAAGATCGACGTGCCAAAACTCCATGTCAAGTATTAAAGAAGATAATAAATATGATACACTATCAACAAGTCGAAATCACACCACAGTTATATGGAAACAATTTTAGTTTAAAACAAATTTAAATGCAAATTAGTCCTATCAAAGTTCTTATTCATCGGACATGCTATTTGGTTAGCTCTTTTGACTATCGCAATGGCACAATGTTGCCAACTGGAAAGTTCGTAATTTTTAACTACGTGAATTCAAAACAGTGTGCCGAAGTTAAAGTAACCTTGTGTAATATAGCTGCCTTTTAAACACATCGCTTAGTTATTTTGAACAAGCAGATGAACCGACGATTGATCATCACTACCTTCACTACTCTGTTCACATGAGCTGACAAGATATTGAGAGAAATGGTAAAATCTGCCGACGACAATCGATTACAGACAGTCAACGCGTAGTCGAGCTGATCACATACACAGTCGCATAGACATGTGATAGATATGAGAACCTTTATTTTTCAGCATGGGGCACTGTGTGCAATTTCTGACTAATTGCGGCGTCGATTCATGACTTGCTAAATGAGAAACTTAAAGGTATCATTTCTGTCAGTCGACCCTAGCTGAAAGACCAAACGAGTTCAAAAGAGATTGTGGATGTCATTGTCTGGTAACTGCAAGGGATATGGCTCAGAATCGCTGGTTGTTGACGAGCAAATTTTAAAAGGTGACTGGTTTCAATATGCGAAAGACATGGACGATAGAAATGTGTCAATAATGAACATATTGTTAAATAATGTTAAAATACGTTCCCTTTTAGCAAAATGTAGTTAGTAGCTCTTCTGACATTGCATTCTTTGTCTGCTTTTGTGAACCTCTCAGCCCTTCTAGTGTTTTGATTGCCAATTAAATTTACAAATCCTATTTCTTAGAAGCTCCATAGACTAACTAATGTGTTTTCCTATGATAGGTTATTGACTGGTCTTTTTGTGTGGTCATCTCGTTTTGGAGAGCAAATTCCTTGTCAGCCACCGTAGCACATCACCAGTTGGGCACATTTGAGAGCTAAGGCAACATTCTTGTCATGACTACATTGTACAAGATTCAATGTTGTTCAGATGCTCACATCGTGAATGCTAGTCTGGAAAATAGAACCAAGCTTCAAAAGCTTCAACATCACTCACTGTCTGAAAATGAATCAATCTTTCCGATCTAAGAAAATCTGAATAGTTCTTAGTTCATCAAAACATCACCTGGTTTTAGGTTATACATGTTGAAATGTTCATCTAACAGGGATTTCCCCCAATTTATTGAAATTTAAATAAACAAAACACGGGTTATTTGCGACTTTTTGAATTTCGTGTTCGGGATAGCATATCATCAACAGCACAATTTACAGCCTAGGCAACTGCAGATTTGCTTTGGGTTGAAACGAAAAAATACAACCTAAAGTTTTGCCGGCTTACCTGGAATCATTCAGGACAGACCATCAGTGTGAACCACTTCCTCACTGACGTGTGTCCGCTGAGGCGTGTGGACACCAGATCAACTTGGTCAGCCATGCGATACTGGTCTCGGTTTTCATTCATACATTTGACCGTGTGTGTCGGTGTGTCCAGACACATGACGTGTAATGCGGATGAGACACTTTCGATTTTTTTTTTTTTTTT